ACTGGCCAACAGGCAGCACTTGCCCGAACACTAGAGACCCTCTCGATCGATATTTGTTGTCTGTCAGGAAACCCGCCTGCAGGATACGAGCACAGTGGTTACCCCTCGATCCCCCACATGTGACACTGGTGGCACATTCACATTGCGCCTGTCTGGAGATGACGCAGCTGCAAGTGCAGGTCAAGCCGGCGTCAGCAATTTTTTGAATCCCTGGGCTGAAGTTGCTCTGATCGACTGGATCCTAGTAAACAGCTGGATGTGCGCCGTTAAATTGGCTGCCTCACTTCAGGATTCGACGTTGCGCGGGAACAAACGGTGCCTGTTTGTCATTGGGACTTACGCTCTCACAAATTGCAGCACTGATTCGATGAAAGATGATTCCCATCACCAACTTAACGATCTACTTCGTTAAAGACGAAGCATGGATACGGTGGTGCTGGCTAGTGATCTAAACGCCCAAGTCGGAAAATTGTCCTCTGATGAGCTTCATCTGGGTGGCCATGGTGTAGGCTCCCGTAATGATAAGGGTGAGCATCTGCTACACATGTGTGAAGATGCTTGTCTCTGGAGAGCACTAACTTTCGACACAGCACCCGCAGAAGAGTGAATTGGCTCCCAGCAGCCTCAAGCTAGCCATGGACGCAAATCGATCACATCGCGATCAGTTACCGCTAGGGAGGCTGCGTCCAAAACTGCTGATCGATTTGGATCGCGAGTGGATTCCGATCATGCTTTTGTGTGTGCTGACCTTCGGCGGACGTGCGCAACGTCCTTATGACGGCATTGACACCAGCCAACTGGCGAAGCCAGGTGTTCAGAATGCATTTCAAAGTACGCTGGCGTCCGGGATGTGTAAGCGTCCTGGTTGCATATTCGTCAAACGTTACTATCAGCAGATAGGTCTTCATATGGCAAATGAAATTACCAACCTGGACATTAGGTCTCTGAAGTCTCTGGAACTTATGCTTGCCGACGTATTCCAGCTGGAAGCGATTATAATGAGACCACCGAAAATCTTAGAGCGAAATTGCGTGCTAGCCTGATGAGAGACCGCGAATCCTGGTGATCTCATCGTGCATTGGAAATGGAAACAGTCAGTGCCGTTGGTAATCATCGTAAATTATTCAATCTGATACGAGAAACCGGCAGCAGATCTGGTGCTAGCGAGACCATACGCGGCGAGAACGGACAGCAGATCCACAGCTTGTCAGAACGCTTGGAGCGTTAAAACGAACAGTTTGCAAGGCAGTTTAACCAACCTGGGTTATCACCTTCGATTTCGGGCATTAAGTGCCCTTTCACCTGGACCGTCCCCTTGGATAAACCCTCAAGCACAGAAGCCAAACGTGAGAGCAGACTGTTGAACTTGTAAAAGGCCGCAGGAGCAGACAGAAGTACTCAAACCTTCAAATTCGGGGGACTTGCTCTTGTAGATGATTTACACGCATTACTAGTGAAACTTAGGGAGCAGGAAACTGTTTCGACAGACTGGAGCCGTTCCGTCTTAGTCCTAATTTTCAAGGCACGCTCCCGTTCTGACTGCAGCAATCCTAGAGGGATAAGTTCGATCTTAATTGACCATAAATTGCTTGCGTCTGTCGTTCTGACTGGCACTCGTGAAAGCCAAATTTGTGAGGAGCGAACCGGGTTATGTCGAGGTCGGGGCTGCATGGACCAGCTTCACTTTGAGTCAATTGTTGGTGTACCGCCATGTTTATTAGTGACCCATAGTTATCGTGTTTCTCGACATAAAAGATGCCTTCGATTCGGTGGATCGATGTACCCATTGGAACTGTCTGCTAAGGAAAGGTGCGTCAGGGAAATACGGAAACATTATCAGAGCGATGCACGCGCAAAGTTCGGGCAGTGTGGAGGTTTATGACAAATTGTCGTCGCTCTTCAATATCTCCAACGGTGCGAGACAAGGTTGCCCGCTGTCTCTTTGTCGGCCGGTGGCCGAGTGGTCTGCGCGTTTGGTTTGCAACCATAAGGTCAGCGGTTCGAATCCGTGTAGGGGTGGGCGTCCTCGCGGTATACTCAGCCCGCGCGCGACTGGTGGTGGTCGCGCGGCAGCGAAGCGCCGTTACGGCGTACAGCTGACACATTATTATATTATACTTCTCTTAAACTTCGCCATTGACGAAGCCATAGAAGCAACGTTCACTGGACACGACCTACAAGATGTGGAGCTACTTCCTGGTGAGCAACTTCTTGACTTGGAGTATGCAGATGACATTGCCCTTATCTGTGACAGTTCCAAAAGGTGTCAATCTGTGCTGGACCGATTAGCACTGGCTGTCAATTGTTTTGGGCTACGCTTTGCTCCACCGAAATGCAAAGTACTTCTCTAAGATTGGCAGGGGTTCACCCCTGCGCTGACCCCTGGTGGTGATTAGCAAGAAGTCGCTCAGGAATTCAAGTACCTGGTCAGCTACATTAGCGCCCGTGGAATCGAGAATGAGGGTATGAACAGCATAGCAAGGGCCCGAAACGCTTTTGCTAAGCTCCGCCACTTATGGCGCCGACACGACATCACTCTAGCCGTGAAAGGCAGATTTTAAAATGCAGCCGCCTGTTCAACCCTCTTACGGTTGTGAAACGTGGCCCATCAGGTCAATAGACATAAAAAGGCTAGTCATATTCGATCATCGCTGTCTTCGCAGCTTAGCTCAGGTCTGATGGGAGCACCGTATGAGCAAGGAATGTGTTCGGCGTCGCGTATTTTGTGCAGGAAGAGCGAGTGAACCACTCAGCACCATTATATCACGCACCAGGCTCTGACGGCTGGGCCACGTGTTGCGCATAAAGGCCCACCGACCCCCGCGACGTGCGTTGCTTGCGCGCCGGGGTTGCGGTTGGAAAAGGAGGAGGGAAGGCCAAGCGATAACTTGGTCGAAAGAAATGAAAACCTTCACTTCGAAGTTGGCGTCGGCTGGTGCATCCCGCAGCCTGGCTGGGGTCGTAAGGACGATGAACACGTTTGTGTGGACACGGTTGCTGATATGGCGAAGAGCCGACCCCAATGGCGCTTGGGTTGTGAGTTTGTTTGTCCATTACGATCTTATGCGAAATGATAGTTAACATTATATTACTTGCTTTTTGAATTCGTTGTAGTGTAAATTTTCGGTATCTTATCTTTCTTGTATTGCGGCACATTACCTGAGGTGTGCTTCGCACCCTAGGCTAACGTGCATTGATGATGATGATGCGGTTGCAATTCAGTCACCATTCGAAGATCACATGATGCCACTACCGGACAATTGAATTGGCGAAAGGAAGCTATTTGTTGTATGCAACATTAGCAACCTTTGTCCTTCCGGAGTTGGAAAAGCATGCTAAAAGTGTCAAATCACAACTAGTATTAAGTCAATGTAGATCGGGTGATCACTATAATCCAAGAGAACAAGCGCACCAACGCAAATGCCACAGGTATCAACATTCCCGTCATGAACCCCCTATTTATATTCCTGGTGCATAGACCATCTACTGTCAAACGCTTACAAAGAAATAAAGAAATAAATTGTATATTCCTCGACGATGCGAGAAGCTGTTCAATAGAATGAACAGATCAAATAATGGTACAACCTTTCCATGACATTGCATTAATACTTTTTCAGAAATAAACATGGGCGCAATTTCAAATTAGGTAACACAAAGTAATCAGAATTGTCCTGCTATTTTTTTCCTGCCAATGAACCAGGATTCTTCACAATCACATGACATGTTTGGGCAGCGAAAAAATGAAATAAAAGGGGCTGTTGTCCGAAATGTTGTGTGTGTGTTTCGAAAATTTATTCAGGCACCATTGATGCCGTTTTCGAAAACGCTATCTAGGGACTGTGATGTCCCGGACATAGTAATCACGTTTTGGACGGTTAACTGCTTACTAATCACAAGCTTAAAATTGCAAAGTGTATAGCATATTCTGATGTGAGTTGGAAGTTTGTTCCAAATCTTTGAGTAGTGGGTTAGGAAGAAACGTTCTCTGAGAAATTTGGATGCTGTATGTAGGTGCACTCGGGTTACAAAAATAGTCGAAATAAAAGTGCAGTGAGCTGAAAGCATTAGGGGAGCCCGTCCATTCGGACCAAACCAGCTCGAAGCACATTGACCAGCAACTAATCGATAAAAATGCTTTTTGCATCGGAGTCGGCCAATAACAATACATGGGCTTGGAGCCAGTCAACAAGAGCGACTTCCTCCATCAAGTACTTTCTGGTAGCTCGGAATCTTACGCTAGGTCATCCGCTCTTGAGCTACAAAAATTAAACTCATTTTACTGTTCAGACGCTGTAGTTCTAGGGACTCAACTGAAGGTGTTGACAGGGATTTTGTTAACTATCTTGAGAAATGGCTGCAGCGAAATTTGAAGAGCTATATCAGTCATCGTTATATCATGGAACTACGACAGAAGGTCAAACTGCCTGGCTAGAAAAAAGGCTAGCCGAACAACCTCCTCGTGGTACCAGCTGCGTGGTTCGGGTTTAACCCGTTCCAGCAAATAGTTCGGCGACAGTGTTCCAGGACGTGGTGGGTTTTCGCCTGGCAAGCGTTCTCCCTATAAAAATCCACAGATGTCTACTTAACAACACTGTGACGTGGCGGATGTGACTCGCCACTAAATAAAGTCACTGTCCTTGCTTACTCGGACAAACTTATCAAATCCACAGACGGCAAACATTCCTTTAGACACTGACGACTCGAACTAACTCATTCAAAAGAACAGCAATACATTCACAAACACAAGCAACACATCTACCTACATACCTACATTTATGGATTCACATATATGAAAATCCTATTATGCTATTGCACACTCCTTGTTCAATTGTTGTACTATTATAATGATCATGCCTTCATTGGCGTGCCTCACGTAGCCGAGAATAAAATGTATTTGTTTATAAGGTAAGCTGCGATGACCGACAAAAGGATATGCGACACAAATGGGGATTGTCTGGTTCGTCATTATTAATCCTGAACATTGACTAGACACTGCTTACCGCGATCAGACGTTTTGTGTATGTTTCAATGCGTTCTGCCGTTAATTTTTCGCGCGTTTCCGAATACTCCAACTGACAACGATCCTCCTCGAGCACCACATTTGGGTGTACAGCAAGTACATCACCAACAAGGTACTTCTAAAGCGGAGATAACAACATAGTGAAAACGTATAAACACGTACATCGAATTCATCATACAAGTGGTCTTGCTGCGCTTGCAACTTGCGTTTGAACACATTTAGCAGTTTTTCCACCTGATACGATTTCAATTTGAGGTTGTGCTGAGAAGAGATAAAAGTTGTACACCAAGATATGAGGTTGTAACTGTACAAACCCGTTCCATCAACCGCTCACCAAACTTGTTCACCAAAGTACCAAGGTTGTCGTTCACGATGTTGTAAACTAGAATGCAGTGAAGCGATGTCAGTATGTGAAAGTGCATACTATCATCTGAGAGTTGGAGTGGAGCGAAGCCCAGAATACGAGCAGCTGGTTCTTGAGCCACTTCAACTGACACCCATTCGCAGTCATCATCCGCTTCGCTCATGTTCACACACAAAAGGGGAATGTACAGAGTTCACACGAAATTAGTCCGTGAACATCACGTATACTAGAGCACTTCGACTTGTTGAAAGCAACTGAAATGTTGATGAAAAATACCATAATAGAAAAGTCAGATTTTACAACGACAAGATTACTGTGGGTTTTGGGGAACACACACAATAGTTAAAATTGTGCGGGAAAAAGTGATATCAAGCAGGGTCCACAAAATATAGTGAAGGAAAGAAAGTGACAATGTCGAGGAACGGAGCTTGCAAGCGTAATTCAAGAATGATGGGTATCCATGTTATTTACATAATGAAAAGGACATAAATCAAGTGGCTGCGAAAGCATGGAAAAAAGTCGGTGAAGCGTAACCAGCCAATATCTGATAGGGATGAAAATGACAGAAAGACTTGATATGGTTGGCGGCATCCGGTTCCGGATTTGCCTGTGACTGCGGCCTAAATAGGGCAGTCACAGGACTGTTGAGACTACATACATACATACACAGGACACCTGCACCTACAAAGGGACCATGGGTGGCTTGCGCTGCACCACCCACACACCCCATAACCAGTGTAAACCCGAAGGTAAAAGCCCGGAAGGAATGCGGATGGGAGCCACGTTTCATCAACGCAGCCGGCCCACCTCCTGTATTTAGGGAGTCAAGCGCACAAGGCGATGACTGGACTGTAGTCCGCTCCACACAATGCAGATGCATAGAACCACTCTTTGTGCCTAACACGATCATGAGGACCGCGCACTCCGTCCCCTTCAGCAATGACCAACTGTCTGCTCCAGCCATTATGGACGAGGTGGTGGGTATAGACAGTAGGCAACTTGTCAACATGCACATCAAGTGCAATCACACCGGGGATGTCAAACAACAGTAAATCACTTGAAATGATAATAACAAATAATATATATCGAATAAAGCATGAGGACATGCTGCCATAACTCTTCGTTAAATGAGCATATGAAATAAACTGGTTATCAACAAATCTGCGATACGTTCAAGATGTCAGAAAAAGATTTTTTAAAATGCCACAAAAGCGAAAAAGTTAACAAAGTTAACCACAATTAGCTTAAGCGACGTGAGCAAGTTAATAGAAGTTTATACGGGTAAACGTCAAAATGAGGCAAAAAAGCATTAAGACAAAATAGAAAAGCAACCACCTGAAATAAAGAGACTCAGCACGCAAGCACGCGGTTAGTGAATCGTATGGAAGCGCATGCAGCGTATCTAACAACGCTGTACCGGTTCCGCCTACGTTCTCAGCAGGATCCATCGTCGTTAATAAACTGGTCTCGAGTGGCTTCGTTCGTAGCTCACTAGACCTGCGTAACTCAGGCACTCGCGACCGCATGTGCTACAGCACAATGCCGACGACATCGATGGGTTATCCACCATCGACGCCTGTCACTTCCACAACTGTCACTTCTTCTCCGCATGCACGAGGGCATTCTCCTGCACTTCGGTAACTGCTTTAGTGATCCGATCGCGCCATACACGCCGATCAACCGCCTTCGATTCCCAACACCTGAAATCAACATTAGAATGTGATAGACTCACCTTGATCATGTCATGGTAATGAAGCTTCGGTTTTCCCACGCGCCGCTTCCGTGGACGCAATTGGCCATAAAGCAGGTGTTTTGGTATCCGGGTCAAATCCATGCGGCGAATATGCCCGAGCCACCTCAGGTGCCTCAGCAGAAGGATGCAGTCCACTACATACACGCCACTGCGTCGGAGCACCTCCGTGTCTGCAACTCGGTCACTCCAGGCGATGCGCAATGTTGATGGAAGCACTCCAGATAACGGACGTCATTTAGATAAAGCACCCAGGTTTCACTGCCATGTAGACGAACAGACAACACAACAGACATGTATACCAGCAGCTTTGCCAGACAATGAGCTGGTGGTTGTTCCATACACGACATTCCAACTTGCCAAACGCAGTAGCCGCCTTCAATATGCGGCCGCGCAGCTCAATCATCGTCTGTAGGTCAGTTGATATAACGCTCCCAAGGTAGCAAAATCTCGGAGTGGTTTCCAACACTTCGTCGACAATATGGATTTGAGGTAGGCCCACGGATTCCATTCCGGGTGAAGGCTGGAAAAGACAAACAGTCTTGCTTGTGTTGATGATGAGCCCGAATTTGGCCGCTGTCGAAGCCAAAGCCCTAGTCATATGCCGCAACTCATCCGCGCTGTGCACAAACTACGCACAGTCGTCAACAAACAGCAACATACGGATAGTTGTCTCACACTCGGGTTCTCGTCCCGAAACGACGGATGTTCAGCAACCCACCAACAATACGGTGCTCCACACGGACACCGTAATCACAAGCAGTATCAAAAGTACAAGGCATCATTGCATGAAGGCAAACATCAAACAGCGCAGTAGCTAAGGCACAACCATGCTTCACACCAGAGACAACTGCAAAGGCATCCGAGGTCTCTTTACTCAGCTGCACCCTCACCCGCATACTACTGTGCGGACATACAATTCAAAGTACAAACTTACCCAACACCAGCTACACTGAATCGCGGTTCACCATATCAAATGCCTTGGTGAAGCCAACAAACAGAGGGTACAATGGCTTGTGTCGCTCTCTGCATTTCTCCTGTAGCTGACGAGCCGCGGACACCATATCTATAGTGCTGCGGCCCGAACGAAATCCATTTGGTTCTTCCGCCACGTTCGGTTCAACGACCTGAGTGACGAGGCGGTTGAACAGGATTCGGGTGGTCACTTTCCCATACAACTCAGCAAGTTGATACCACGATAATTCGTGGCACATTTCTTGCTCCCGCTGCCCTTGCACATGCTGTTGAAGAGCCTCAGGACCTCCAGAGACATTTACTGTATTCCAGAACTTGAGATCTTCAGAAAATCTAAACATTGAGACTTCAAGCACCCTAGGCAAGTCACGTAAGTGGAGTGGGAATAGCACCGGCCCTGCGAGACGTCATTAAGGACACCTTGACAAAACGAGTCTCCTTCCCACGTGTACACACTATTCTCATCATCCAAAAAAGCAAAGAAGAGCACAACCAGATATTCCATAAGACTTCAACTTTAGTGAGAGTCGCGAATCGGGGACAGTGTCGAAGGCCTTAGCGAAGTCAACAGGTCAACTGCATGCCCACCGTCTACGGCTCCAGTCCAGCTCTAAGGAGCGAAATCTATGTTGCACGACACGAAGCAACTTAAATATATGCAAGTGGTTCACAAATGAATCTCATCGATTTTTCAAGCAAGATAAACACCATGCTAGTCAAGCTGACATGTCTATAATTAGCCGGTAGGTCCTTGTCCCCGCATTTGAAAATAAGGTAGACCACATCCTCCTACCACTCGGGAACCAGGACGCAGAGGTTGAATGAGTTCAGAAATACGTAATTCAGAGGTTCACCGTGTTCCACAGCCGATTCATGCAGCAGTTAAGGATAAAAAGAAGCTGGCACGGAAACCTTAGTTAGATTCAACTCCCACAGCAACGGAAAAAGGAAACTCAGTCGCATTAATTTAGTCCAGACAAGAGCCCGCAGGAACTCTTGAAATTAGCCCTGCATGTTGTATTTGTTCCGCGGGCAAAGACGTTTCAGTACTGCCCACCAAGCACACACGTCTTGTCATAATCGCCGTAGACCTGGACCCCATCCACTTGAAGCAACGCTGGAATGGGTGAGTTTGCATCGCAACGTCGCTTCATCATCAACAGCAGTACATCAACCAGTTGAACTGATGGTTCGCTGCCGTACAACCACGGTGACCTACGGAACGAAGAACAATAAGAGGGAGAGAAGGATAATCTGGCGTAAAACCTAAATGCCCTAAACAAACACTCAAGGTCAAGGCGCTTACATCTTGTCAACAAAAGACCATCACAAACAGCTGGCTATCGTGCAAAGACGCTTAATGTATGCGAAGGACTTCTTAGGCCTGGTTGAGGCAGCGCCAGCTAAGTCCTTCTCATATTGAAGCCGAACCACCCGATACCTGTCAAACGTGCTGATCAACGGAGCTGCTCGAAACGTTCGCCAGCACCTAGACCGTTTATACAACAGGTTCTTTTCCACGGAGACTACGCTTTCGTCCCCCTTTTTCACCAGTAGGATGTAAGGTGAAAAAACGTCGACGAGATAGGCCCTAAAATTTCCCAGACTACAAGAACAGTGCCAGCCTCAGAGACTGTATAAGGCGGTGACAAAGCCCCGTTTTGCATCACTCGAAAGGCTGCGACGCGGATGTTAGGATGCCAAACGCTAATTGCCTGTTAAGGGTACAAAGAAAAGATAAGTAAACGTGGCCGCTGGCACCAAGCGACAAGCCGTAAGTAATGTCACTTACAAAGTCAAGTGATATAGCGAAAGCAAGGTGGACGGCTGCTGGCTGCTCATATATCTAGTGGGAATGTTACGAATTGGTGTAGTGGTACCAGTAGCGTCGAATCCAGCAGTTCTGCGCCAAGTTGCAAGATAGATTTACCCAGAAAATTTGGTAGATTTAAGTCGCACAGCAATAGACACTTGTTCGCAAAATAAGTGAGTATAAATTCTAGGATGACCTGGAGGTGCTTATAGGGTTTCTAGACACTAGAAAGACAGTAAACTGAACCGAAGAAACGCAAATCTCGACTACGAGAGCCGCAACAGATTTGTCTAGTCGGCCGGTGGACGAGTGGTCTGCGCACCTGCTTTGCAATCATAAGGACACCGGTTCGAATCCGCGTAGGGGTAGGCGTCCTCGCGGTATACTCAGCCCACGCGCGACTGATGGTGATCGCGTGACAGCGAAGCGCTGTTACGGCTTACAGCTGGCGATTCATTTATTATTTATTTCTAGAGACTGAAAAACGTTGGTCCTCAATACGTCTAGCTGATAATACACAGAGAGCTACACCATTGCTTTATGTCCAATGGAGCAGTCCGGGCGGAATAGTGCATATCCAGTCAGATATACTTCGCCGTACGTGATTTCCTCAGACAAGCAGATT